GGGAGCGGGGCCCGGGGGGAGGGAGCCGCTGCTTGGCTCCGAGGGTCCCTGGCTGCTGCTGGCCCCCGCCGAGAGGAGACGTCCGAGGCCCCCGTTCAGCCGCTCAGCTCCTCTCTCGCTCTGCCTGGGGGACCGAAACGCGGACGCGCTGGCCCTCGCGGCCCGACGGCCATCCTCAGCATGTCTTTGTAAGCAAGGTTTCCCCTCTACTTTTGCAATGGTCAGGCTAAAAGAGGGGACCAGAAATGCTGATTTAGTTAATGTCCTTTCCATTTCACACACGAGGAAATAAGGCATGGAAAGAGAAAATGATGTGTACAGGCTTGCAGAGAGCTGGTTGTGAAGTTGGCAGAAGCAGCCAGGAGCTGTGATTCCCCGGGGTCATACGGGATAGGTGGGATATATGCGAGAGTCCGTGGCACTGCCAAACAAATCCCGTCTCGGGCAGGTCTCGGGGAGGGATAGTTTTATAGCTCTGGGAAAAGGTGAGTTTCGGGAAATTTGCTGTATTTTTGACTTTGAAAACCTGTAGGAAAAGGGTTTCGGGATGTTAACAAACCTCACAGCAGCGCTCAGAAAAGCTCCAAACCCAAGAGGAAGGACGGGGAAGAAGCCCAAGGGAAGAGCGCGAGCTGGGGCGGAAGCGGTGCAAGGCAGAGGGGCAAAGCCAGGGGGTGTGAGAGGGAAGGAGGCAGGAACAGGGAAGGAAGACGAGTTGCAGGCTCCCTGGAGCTGCTGCACGCGCAGCAAGTGCAGCCTCGGAACGTCTGTTCCCCTCTTCCTCTGGATAAATATTTATACAGACATTTGCCGTCTGGTGCACGCACTTGGCTGCTCACCTCCAGACCAGAATAATGGGAGCTGCCCTCCTTGCAGAGAGGGGGAGGGCAGCGGGGGTTTGGGCTGTCCCGCCTGCAGCTGCGAGCGGCGCTGAGCTCACTGGTTAGGCAGGGCCGGGCATCATGAGAACTTGGACGGGAAATCGCCGGGGCAGCGTTCGGGAGAGCGGTGCCGGTGATTCCCCGCTGACCCAGTGCCCCAGCACCGCGCTAACAGCGCTGCCCCTGGCCACCTCGCGTCCTGGCCGCGCTCCAGCTGGAGGGCCAGCAGCCTCGCTGCCTCCTGACATTCCCTCGGCGGTACCCGTTGCACGTGGGATCTGCCTTCGCTTTCTGCCCTAAATAGAGCGGGAATGTGATGCGAAGGGAAGGTGCCAGCCCACAGACACTCTGGCAGCTTTACGGCCTTCTGCCGGTGCCCGTCCGTTTGCGTGAGGGCTGTGTGGATGCACTGGGGGAACGTGTGAATGGGAAGGCACGTAGGTCTGCATATTTGGGGGGGGGGGGGGGGGAACGGGGCTTTTTAGGCCATGTGTGTATGACTGCATTTATGGAGCGTGCAAGTGCACACACACAGCTCTTGAATAGCTGTAATTTCTAGATGGGGAGGTACGCGTTTGGGGGCAACACGCGCTTTGCCTGCACGAAAGCATGATTGCGTGTGGGTGTTAGTGCCAGAGGGGGTATGCATTTGGAAAGTGTAGGAGTACATTTTGCCTCCCTTTGCGTGGGGGGCTGATATATTTGTCGAGGGGTTATTTTTCTTGCGGTCTTTGACAGGGAAGCGTGTCTGAAGCTGTCAGGAGTTTACGCTAAGCAGCCACTCTCTGGCTCTCGGACAGCGAGTCTAAAGTTTCAGACTGTTTGTATTGGGCTGTCATGTTACGGGATTAGGGGCTGTCACGATGGCTTCTGGATGCATTGTAGGGGGTCTGATTAATCTCACTGCACCGCTGCGGAGCAGCACCTCCGCGCGCTGGTGACAGGGAGGTGTGGGCTGAGCTGCCACGCGGGACTCTCGTGCAAGGAAGGAACCCGTTTTCACCAGCCGAGGTCTGGAGGAGACGGTTTCCGTTCCCTCTCCTTGCGATGGGCCCCTCTTTCAGCAGG